CTCCAGGTGACCCCACATGGATTTGCACTCACCACAATGGATGGACCTTCTATTACTATATAGGTCTCACTGAGATTATTTGGTTGGACCCAAGTCCTTACCGAAGTGCCTTGCCACCGACTTGACCATTCATATGTACCAGGATGCGATTTCTTCCAGTGCAATGCACCGCCATTCAAAAACCAGTATCAAAGAAAAGGATCATTATGCAAAGCAGCAGACTTTCTTAAACCTTATAAAACCTTACAATTAGTCCACACTCACATGTATATGTGGGCTTCCTGAAGATGTCCAATTACAGATGAAACTAGTTGAAGCAGTGTTCCCCAGCCGATACATCACATCCCATTCCTGGAGTGCAAGCCAGCTTCTGGTCTTGGGACAGTGGCAGCCATCTTAACTCTAAGCACTGTAAGTACCCGGTGCTGGTCCTTAATTAGGCACATATACTGTACATGTGAGTGCTGTGTAATTGTAAGCTTTTTATGACTTGATAGTGACCTGCTAGGGGAATAAAGTGTGCTCTCTTCAATAAGTGCACAGTGAGCTGTCTTTTGATAATTTCTGCCTCACTGATGGGTGGATCCTGTTTCAGCAGCTTTCCATTGTCTGAGTAAACCTTGGTTTGACTCCCTTTGCAGGACAGCTTGGATCTAGACTTCTGAGCTGCTCAGGACTTGGATCAGTCTGCAGTGCTTACTTGAAGGTGTCTCTACAAGTCCTAGTCAACTGTCCTGTGATGAGTCCATTGGATCAGAGCAAAGAAAGGGTTTATGGGTACCATCAGTGTGAGAATCACATTCAAGACCTCTCTTACAAATCCCCACTCTCCAATTCAGGAAAACCCATGGCTCAAATGAGTGAGTCAGAACTTTCTGTAGGATGATGTCCCTTTTTATTAATGAGCTTAGGGTGAACAAGTGTGACTTCAGCACTGGTGTTTCAAAAGTCAGTAACAATTTGGTTGCCAGTGATGATAGACTGTAGGTTGTTATCATTGCTCCTTGCTTTTCCACTTTTGAAAAGCACAGAGGAATTGGTACAGGCCAGCTACTCAGGTGAAGTAAACTTCTACTCAGGACAGCTGGTCATAAAGTGTCTGCGCTTGCCACAAGTATATAATCTGTGGGTATTAGATAATACCAGCTTGTTACTAGGAGCTCCAAATGTCAGTTGCTGGAGTCACAGGTGGAAGCAGGGCTTTCTTTATGTGGATTCCCTCCTTACCACAAGAGGGAGCCCTGCAGTGGTCAGAAACCTAAGTGTTTATGTTGGTACCTACTTTTTCTGCTTCCATTTTGACAGAGTTGGGCTTGCACTTCATTACAAACTTCTGTGTCAGATGTGAAGAAGTTGATCCTGGATCAGGGGCTGGTTTTGGTGAAGTCAGGAAAAATTAATCTAAACCTAAACATATTGCCAAACCCTGTTGAAGTCAATGAGAGCAATGTCTTGCTATTGATTTCTGGCCCTTTATTCAGGGCCAGTTTGAAAGCTTTTGCAAGCTAATGTTAAAAAAGGGTAGCATGGGTAGATGGGTACGGCCAAGGCAGATGAGGAACATGTACCAACGTGAAAAAGGAAATACCATACCGTGTAAAGAGGATCTTCTAATGCAGCTTAAGAGGTCATTTAAACATATACAAATCTTTTAAAAAAACATGCTTTGGGGATGCATTAAACCTAACATTTTGTGGCTTGTTTACTAAAACTGGAGAGTGCAAAATCTGCAGCTCTGCATAGAAACTAATCAGTTTCCAGGTTTTTTTTTGTCAAAGCGTACCCGAACAAGCTAAATTTACAAGCTGAATGACTACAATGCACAGCTGCACTAGATTTTTGCACACTGCAGTTTTAGTAAATCCTTTGTGTTTACAAACAGTGGCTAGGCATCTGAAATTTAGCACAGTAGCAGTACTGCCCCTTAATGACAGATTCCCATTGCCTGCCCAAAAGAGATGGGGAGTCAAGGTACGTTGTTGAACAAAGATGGTGAAGACCATCTTTGGTCGATGTCCTCTGGGATCCCTGGCCCCTTTATTTACATTCCATCTGCTGTAAGCTGGCATTTGTGATAGAGGTAGTAGAGGGGCAGTATCATCATGTGGGCAGGTCATCATGTATAGGGCTTAATATTGTTGGGTGTCGAATATTGTGATTGGCATATACTGTATCTACATTGCTGGATGATGTGATGTGATGATGTGATTGAAGCTGGATTTATATGAGAGGGTGTTGTTTATTTTTTATTTTGCTTTTTAAAAGTAAATAAACTCTTTCTATGGTGGGTGTTTTTATCTTCTTTGCTTTGTGAATGTCTAAAATCTGTTCTGTGCTGCACTGCTTACTCATTCATTTGTGGGGGTGGGGAAACTGGAGGCCCTTATTCTACAGGAGAAACCCAGATTCTGATAAGTATCTCCCCCACGCACATCTTCACATCCCTTTTGGGGTACAGGATATTGTGATGAGGCCCTTGTTCCCATAAACATCAACAAAGTGCCTTGCAGAGGAGGAGGCTTGGGCTCCCCCTTACTAGCATGTGGCCCGCTATGATTCAGGACGGGGAGGGGGAGAGGCAAAAATTTGCTGCTCCCCAATTCCTACTAAGAGAAAAAAACTGCATGTGTTACCTCTAAGAATTTACAAAAGACTCTTACCCAGCCATGCCACATGCCTTCAACATCTGGAAGGTACCTTGTGAGGGGAAGATGGCCAAGTCTCCCCCTTGCAAGACACCTTATCCCCACATCCTGTCCCTCAAAAAGGGAGGTGGGGGTCTGCGGGGAGTTATCGGATTCTGAAAGCCCCCTTTAGAATGAAGGGCCCCAGATATCCTCCACCCCCCCCCCCCATTGTGATTGAATACCCCTTGTTACTCATTAACAAAAAAAAACCCACCTACGCCAAAGAAAAAGACCTAAAGACCTTCATCTAACCTGTTCCTGCCAGCCTCACACATAGCATTGCAGAGGTGGACCTTCTTCCATGGTCCTTCATATATTTGCAGCTGTTTTTGTGTAGGAAGCTCACTTCTTAGCGTGCTTCCAGCACAGAGACTGAGCTGTCATCAACAGTAGACATGTACGTTTGGATACATTTTTTTTTAGACAAAAATTTCATTTATGGAGATTCGGATGTATACGTAAATTATGTTAACAAATCCTGAAACGGGGAATTTAATTCAATTTTCAAATTTATTTGATAATTCGGATTCGTATAACAAATGGATCTGAATTTCATTCCATTTGTTAATTTGGATGCACATAAAGCCAGTTGATATTGTCCAATCAGCTCATGTCATTTCTCTTAGTGTGTTGGCCTAGTGTCTGAATATATTGAATCCTTCTGATTCGAATCTGTCTGATTCAATAATATATTGAATATATAGCAATGTTCTGGAAAAACTGCTACATTTTTAGAATCCACACAGACCAATGAATAAACGAAACAAATGCAAAAAAAAATATAACATATTTCAAAAACTAGTCAGTTCAACATAACAAATATGATGAAACAAAATTCTTAAATGAACAGATACATTCAAAATGAAACAAAAATTTTCAGTGTGCACATCTAATCAACAGTACCAACTAAGCATTTGCAAAGATATGTACATTTTTGCGAACATATACTAAAGTTAAAAACTGGGCTCAGGCATTAAGGTTTGTTTTGTCTTCCATCATATAAGGATTAAAAAAAAAATAAAAAATGTCCCCTGATGTAAATTCAATGCCAATTACATTGTCTATCAGAGTAGATTCGCATCAATCATTATGTGTGATGTTCGACAATGTAGTCCAAGCATCATGCTGCCGTGCTGCTACTTATGCAATAAATGACAGCACTGTTGTAATATAAATGTGGTCAAGGATACTCGCCAGCCTGTTAAGAATTTCAAACCAGAGTCTTCAGGAATCTGTGATTTAGGGGTAGTAGCCTGGCTACATTAGCAGGAGGGTGTACTGGCCAAATATAGCTTGTTTGTTTGATAAAATGCCGAATTCATGTTCAACCCAAACCTATAACTTATCCCTATATGGCACCCAAAGGTAAACTGATAAGAGATCAAAGACCCCTTTATTAGTTTACAGAGTGGATTACTTTATGGAAAATTAATGACCTGCAGTGAATATCCACTAACATGAATCATCTGTAGCCTTCTTTTGGGGTGGGGGCAGGGGCGGACTGACCATTTAGAAACTTGGGCACTGCCAGAGGGCCCAGGGTCAGTAGGGGGCCCCATGAGATGCCCCTGGTGCCTTTTTCATAGGCTTTTTTGAGTTTGGGCAAGGACACAGGGGCCCCATGATCCCCTATTGCCCGGGGGCCCCATGAGTTGTCAGTCCGTCCCTGGGTGGGGGTATGAGAAATGGCCCTTTCGAAACAGGATATTGCTTTAAACCTGTAGGTAAATAGTTTACATTTGCTAATAAGGAATATTATTTCATATAAATACTCTGTATTTGCCAATAGTAATAAGCAGGTGGAAAACTTTACACAACATAGTTTCATGCGCAATTTCAAATCCTCTTCCCCCCCAAACAACTGGTTAACATACCAGCGTAAGGATTCTTATTAAAAAAAAAAGTTATTTTCAGAGTCCAATGAGATTTGGAAATGAATCACACATCTGAAAATAAAGCCCCTCATACATACTTAAAATGGTAGTAAAGTCCGCAGTCATTTCTCTTTTGGGGACCCCAGGTGGGTTATGCCTAAATACGCTAGTATGCACAGCATATTAGCACATTATGACAGACTTACCTCTCAAACCGAACCCTCCGATGCTGTGCTGTAAACGATCCAGCAGCTCCCGGGTGCTTCCATCTTCACCCGGTCTTCCTTCTAGGTTTGTGCCTTCAGCTGCTTGATTGGCCGCGCCTTGATAATGTCACTCCCGTGCATGCCCATGGGAGTCACATCGCAGTGGCACAGATCGGGGCCATAAAACTGAGCTGCGCATTTGCGGCTCAGTGTAAATGACGGTTGGTGGGCAGGAGGAAGCATTTATGACTGAAGAGACTGATAGGGTCTCTTCTGTCAGAAGTGTCCTGTCTGTCAGCATTTTTTAAAAACAAAGTTTACTACTACCTAAAAGCTTTTTGAATGTATCTAATGTTAAGGTCTGTACTGCTCAGGGAGAGTAGCATAAAGCACTTAAGGCTCTCTACCTCCCTTCACTCTCTCTTTTCCAGGTTGCTACTAGATAACGCAACTGTGTCCTCAGCATAGCAACAGGCAGGGATTGACTTATTTTGACAGGCCCTGCCAATGATTATATAAGCCCCTATGCATCTCACTCAGTCACCACTTCTAAGGAGACTGGACCGCAACTCACACCCACACTCCCATTTTCATTCAAACAAGTTTATGATGTGGTCTTTATTTAGTGGGGTTTATCCAGTTTAACTTGGATTGATATCATGACTGGATTTTTCTGCATTGGATTTTGTTGGTTTTGGGCAGGATGGCTACATTCATCAAGTTATTGTAATTGAGGTTACCCCTTAAAGTGGGATTTTACCCATAATAACCTGATAAAATATAATGTTCTTTAGCAAGGAACATACACTCCACATTAATAAATATGCTTCCAATATAATTGTGTGTTATAAATTTCCTCCATGATTGCTCCTGTTTCTTCTTGCTGCAGGCTGCCATTTTGCTGAAGCCCAGAGCTCTTGAGCAGCAGTAAATCTTTAGGCTGTCAGCAGATCGGCCTCTACAAATCTGGCACAGTGGAAAAAAATAGAGAGCAACTGAGCATGTGCAGAGCAGAGTGAGACAGTGGGGTAGATTTACTAAAACTCGTGCACTTAGAGTCTGGTGTAGCTGTGTATGGCAGCCAATCAGCTTCTAACATCAGCTTGTTCAATTAAGCTTTGGCAATAAAACCTGGAAGCTGATTGGTTTCTATGCAGAGCTGCACAAGATTTTGCACTCTCCAGTTTTAGTAAATAATCCCCAGTGTATTACTGGATTTTAATAACTTTCCTGCCGCCCTATAGCAGATATACTGCTACAGGACAGCAGGGGTGCGCAAAGTCATGAGTATATATACGTGATTTAACATTTCCGGGTAAGGGGCGCGCACGCCGTACCCACGCCGCTATTCGCAGCCTCGGCTGTCAATCACCAGGTCCCGGCCAGTGATTACTCGCCGCCACCTGGTGATCTAGGAGCATTGCATGTAAACAATACAGTTCTCTCCCCTGTCAGCTCCTGCACAACAGAGTCATGCTGTCAGCTCCTGCACAACAGAGTCATGCAAAGCGGTGTGCTTACAGCGAAGCACACACAGACAGCACACAGTTAACCCTTTGATCTCCCCTCATGTTAACCCCTTCCTGTCCTGTGCCATTAGTACAGTGTCAGTGTTTTTTATTAGCACTGATCACTGTATTGGTGTCACTGGGGATGTCAGTGACACCAAGTCAGTTCCCCCCAGTGTCAGAATGCCCGCTACAGCCTCACTATAAGTCGCTGATTGCTGCCATGACTAGTAAAAAAAAAATTAAAAATCCCAGTATATACTGTATATCACCATTTTTAAACGTTATAACGTTCACGTAAACTAATTAATTTAATTAATTAATTAGTTATTTAATTCTCAACTCTAAAGACATACTGGTAGGTTATTTGGATCCTGTCTAAATTGGCTGTAGTATGTGTATGTATGAATGTGAGTTGGGGACCTTAGATTGTACACCCCTTGAGGGTTAGGGACTGATGTGAATGTAGAATATATATATGTAAAGCGCTGCGTAAATTGATGGCACTATATAAGTACCTGAAATAAATAATAATAAATAATTAATTTACATGTATTGAAATTTTGTTTAGCAAAGACATGTAGCAGAATACATTTTGGTCTAAATTTATGATGAAATTGACTTTTTACATTTTATACTGGACATATTTAAGAGCAAAAAGTAAAAAATATGGTTTTTTTCTCAAAATTGTTGGTCTTTTTTTTTTATAGTGCAAAAAATAAAAACACGCAGAGACAATCAAATACTACCAAAAGAAAGCTCTATTCGTGGGAAAAAAAGGACGTACATTTCATTTTGGTGCAGCGTTGCATGACCGTGCAATTGTCAGTTAAAGTAACACAGCGCTGTAGCGCAAAAAATGGCCTGGTCAAGAAGGGGGGCAAATCCCCAGGAGGGCAAGTGGTTAAACAGTATAGGTGCTTATTTTTAGTGTTTACATAGCTATACCTGTAAAAGGGGCCAGCACAAAGTCATCTAAATGGATTTAATTTCCTGTCTAAAGTTCCACTTTAAATAACACTGTGGCCAATAAAAATTTCTCCAAAAAATATATAGTTTGAAATAATATCAAGTGTTGTCTCTTTCGTGGTATGGTTTACATAGCTCTCCCATGTCTGTAGTGCAGATTTTAGTTTCCTCTAATTGGATGGTTACTATTTCTTCCTGCACTTTGCATATCTTTACTATTTCCCCGGCTTTAATAAATCAGCATGCATGTATAAAATTGAGGGGTTAATGTTTTCCTGTGAAAAAGAACTGCAGTGCTGCACTCCATACTTTGTAATTGCCTCTCAACATGCCAAGATTAGCAGAGTGATCCCAGCTCAGTTTCTGGCACAAACCCTAACAAGGCATAGCCCAGTGCCAGGCTGATGTACACTTGGCTCTTTGCTGTTTCCATCACTGCATGGTGACAGGTAAATGCGTAAAAGCCATGATTGATTAACAGGCTGCAGACTTTTGGCCCTGCAAAACACACGGACTTGGAACAAAAATGTTTTGCTGTTATTATTTTTTTTGGCAGTTAACTTATGATTAATGGACATTTTTATATGGACGGGTTCTGGCTAACTGCATTTTGGATGGTAGCAGCACTTACCACATTACTGAAGAAAATTAATGTGAGTAAATATATACTTGCTGTTCATGAAATCATTATCTAAATCTCCTAAAGTTGTGTCTATTTTAAAGGAAGTGCTACATTTAGAAAACACAAATTATAACCAGTGTTAGAAATATTTCTGATATTTATAGTTCTCAGCAAAGAAGCAGAACAGTCACCATTTGAGGTGTTCTGCACCTTGGGCAGGAACACTTTGACATCTTGTGCTTGTTTTGGAGATCATCATTGCAAAGTCAGAACTCCAGACAAAAATAATGTAACAAAATATTTATTTATGCCATTAAAAGTTAAAAGATAAAGCCTTTGTACTCACCCTTACACTTCAATCAGACTGTCCCCTGCAGTACTTCTTTTCCACCTCAGGATGTCCTAAGTATTCCAGGTTGAATGACAGACAGCTTTATTCAACCCACTTCCTGTGAGCCAGGGCTGTCATGGATCCACCCCCTAAAATAGTGTCATCACATATCCTGAGCTGAGAGTAGTAATACAGTGCACAATGTTGACAAGTCATTATGTGAGCACCATTTAGTGCAGAAAACCATTTATAACATTTCTGTCTTTCCCTTACTTAAAACTCTTTTTTCTTTCCCATCCCACTACCCCTCCCTCCCACCCCTCTTCCCCCCTCTGCAGACTCTATCCCATTCTTCTCTCTTGAGGCTTTTTAATGTTATGTTAACATCCTAGTTTATGTTTTCTTATATTTCTCTTTCAATCCTGCTCTTTCCCACTTTTCCCATCTCCTTAGATACACTCCCATTCTGTCTTCCTGCATATGATATGATCTTTCCATTCTACCTATCTGGTTTACTCTGTTAATCCAGTCCACCTCCTTCGGTACCTCGACTTTCCGCCAAAACTTGGGTATCAACCCTTTCGCTGCATTCAAGAAGTACCAAATACCTGAATCTTTATATTTATTTACAGATGTCTCCACAACGTGTAGGAGACACGTCGTTGGATCTAATCCTATGTCAATTTCCGTTATTTCTTTAATCAACTTGACTATTGTCTTCCAAAAAGCCTGGATTTTCGGACATTCCCACCATATGTGAAACACCGTGCCTATATCTCCACATCCTCTCCAACACATATTTGAACTTTCCCCATTCATCTTGTGTTCAACACTTGGTGTGATGTGCCATCGTGTCACAAACTTATAATTAACCTCCACCTCTCTCATACTAACATTATCGTGTATCAATCTAAAACATCTTTCTCTGTCTATCCTCATCAAACTCAACTCCCATATCTCTTTCCCATTTTGTCATAAAATTTAACTTTGTGTTTGTGTCTAATTCTGTGAGAATTCTATACACTTTTGAAACACCGTGCTTCCCATCCCTTCGTGTCTCCAGCAACCTTTCAAACATATTCCACTCCTGTTTTATTCTCAAAGGTTTCGGTAGTTTTCCAATAAAACTTTTCAATTGATGGTATTTCCACTCATCCATTCTAAAAAAAAATGTCTCCCTTCTTCTCTATTAACTCTTTAAGTGATCTCAATTCCCCCTCCACCAATACATCTCTCAATTGGGTATCTTCCTTTCTGAACCATCTCCCCGAAATCTTGTTCTTTCCCGGAGGAAAGTACTCAGAATTCGTGAGAGGCATTAATGTTGAATTAAATTCCCATTTCATATTTTTATGTAAATTGTCCCATACCCTAAAGACATTTAAAGTGTAAATACTTGTGCTTTCTTTGATTCCCCTAAACTGTGGTGGGACCCATATCATCTGACTCAATCCAATTCCACTAAGCTCATTCTCTATTGTTACCCAACTTTTCCCCTTATGGTTAAATGTCCAGTCATATATTCTTGCCAAAACCACTGCTTTATAATATCTCTTGACATCTGGTAAACCCAATCCCCCTTTCTCTTTAGTCCTACTCAATGTTTCATATGCTATTCTAGGTTTTTTATTCTTCCATATGTATCTTGTTAACATTTTTTTCATTATCTTAAAGAAGGCTTCTGGAATTTTAATTGGTACCATTTGAAATCTATACAGTATTTTAGGCATAATTACCATTTTGACTAAGTTTATACGTCCTATCCAGGATGGATTTCCTCCTTCTAGTCTTTTTAAATCTTCCCTGATCTCATTAATCAAAGAGATATAATTTACTCTATACAAATGCTTGGATGAGGCAGTGATTTTTATTCCTAGGTATTTTATCTCTTTTTCTCTCCAAATAAAGGGGAATTCTTTTTGTAATT